AAAATGTGGATGCAGCTTTGGAACTGGGTAATGGGCAAAGGTTGGAGGAGTTTGGAGGACTTAGAAGAAGAGAAAAAGACAAAGGAAAGTTTGGAATGTCTTAGAGACTTATGTGGTGGTGGGCAGAATGCTGATAGAAATGTGGACAGTAAAGGCCATGTGGATGATGAGATCTCAGACAGAAATGAGGAACTTATTGGGAATTGGACAAAAGATAACACTTGCTACACCATAGCAAGGAATCTGGCTACATTGTATCCATGTCCTTGGACTTTGTGGAAGTTGGAACTTAGGAGCTGTGAACCAGAGCATTAGGCCAAAGAAATTTCCAAGCAGCAAAGCATTAAGGTCACTGCATGGCTAATTCTAACAGCCTACTCTGAGTTATGGCAGCAAAGGCATTTATAAAGTCAGAAATTAAAAGGGATGCAGTGAGTAAAGTTTTGGAATATTTGCAGCCTGGCCATGTGGTAGAGAAGTGAAGAGCCAGAGAACAATGCAAGGGTGAAGCAGATAAACTGTTTGCTAAAGACATTATCTTAGGGTGAGGCAGCCAGATGCTAAGAGCCAGGACAATGGATAAAAGACCCTAAAGGCATTTGAGAAGTCAGGAAGGGTTCCCCACCGGTCACAGGCCCTGAGGCCTAGAAGGACTGAGTTGTCCCAGAGGACAGACTTGGGGCACAGCTGCCCTCGGGACCCTGCTCCCTGCATCCCAGCTGCTCTGGCTGGAGCAGCCTCAAGTGTGGTTCATGCAGCAGCCCTGGAGAGTAGAGGCCTGAAACCTTGGTGGTGTCCACCTGGTGTTAATTCTGCAGGCTGGCAGGACATGAGAGCCATGGAGGTGTGGCAGCCTCCACCTAGATTCCAGAGGATGTATGGAAAAGCCTGGGGACCCAGGCAGAGACCTGGCACATGGGTGGAGCCACCACAGAGGCCATCTGCTAGAGCAATACCAAGCAGGTGTGTGGGGTCATATCCCCCACAGATAGCCCCCACCAGTAGATCCAAGGCAGCAAAGCTGCCTCCAGGACCCTGGAACTGCAGGGCCACTGGTAATGTGCAACACTGGCCTGGAAAAGCTGCAGGCACCAGCGCAGCCCGATGGATTGTGCCTGGCAGAGATGTGGGAGCAAGGCTGCCTGAGGCTTTAGTGGCCTGGATGCCCAATTGTGCCCAGGATGCAGGACTTGGAGTCAAAGAAGATTATTTTGGAGCTTTAAGACATAACGTCTGCCCTACTGAGTTTCAGACTTGTTTGGCGCCTGTTTCTCCTTTCTTCTGGCCTATTCCTCTCTTTTGGAATGGGAATGTGTACCCAGTGTCTGTTCCACCATTGTATCTTTGCATTAGATTAATTTGTTTTTGACTTTTACAGGTTCCTAGCTGGAAGGAGTTTTGTTTTTAGTCTCAGAGGAGACTTTGGCCTTTGCACTTTTAAGTTGGTGCTGGAACAAGCTAAGACTTTTGGGACTGTTGGGATAGAATGATTGTATTTTGTATGTGAGAGGAGCATGAGTTTTGGGGGGCCAGGGGTGGAATGATGGAGTTTGGATGTGTTGTCCCCTCCAAAACTCATGTGGAAATTTGATCCCCAATGTGGCAGTGTTGGAAACTGATTGAGTCATGGGGGTGGATCCCTCATGAATGGATTAATGCTCTCCCCGGGGGAGAGGGGAGTAATGAGTGAGTTCTTGCTCTATTAGTTCCTGTGAGAACTTGTTATTTATAGGACGCTGGCACCTTCTCTTGCTCTCTCTCTCATTTCTTCTCTCGCCATGTGATCTGCTTGTACCGCCGGCTGCCTGCCACTTTCCATCATGAGTAGAAGCAGCCTGAGGCCCATGCCAGATGCAGCNAGTCGTGGTATGGGCACGACACCGAGGGTTGCAATCCCGTTACCGGTCATGAAAAAAGACAAAAAGGAAAAAAAAAAAAGGCAAACAGAAATACTAGTTAGCATTTAGGCATTCTCTCTGTTATTCATCTAAGAATGTCAATGTATTTTATATACATATTTAATGAACAAATATATACATGTATATATTTCTGTGTTTGCATCCTAAAAACTACCTTATGTAAAAGAGTCTACCATTATCATTAGCCTGGTTCTGGTTGCAAACTTGAGAATCTGGTCTTAGGTCATTAGTGACAAAAATAAAAAGCATCAGTTAGACTTTATCCCAGATCCTTCTCAATAATGGTTCATTATATGTATTCATTGGATTAATGAAACAGATTCTCTTTTAAAGCACAACCATGCTGAGGCTATTTTAGGAGAGAATAATTTTCCCTATTTTAGCTTCTTTTTTTGGTGGCTGGCTGGTATGGGGATCTGAACCCTTATCCTTGGTATTACAAGGCTACATTCTAACCAATTGAGCTAACTAGCAGGCCCCATTCCCTATTTTAAAATGGTGTGTTCAAAATTCAATGTGAGAAATGGATTTCTGAAAGTTGAATATCCTGTTTAACTCACCTAACCTGACAATTTCAGTTGGACCATTTCAGAAAACATTTTTCTTTAAAAGCACAAAAAATCATATTCATAACCAAAATATAGAAGAACATATGCTGGTAGAGAAAAAGAACATATGCGCCCTTTGCTATTAGTTTTTGCATAATAATTGATCCACTGGAAAAGCAACTCATTAACAATAAGCAGGATAAAAAAAGGATATGCTTCAAGACATCTGCTTTCAATTTTACCATTAATGGTTACCCACTTAAATCCCATTTTGGATTACCTGCTTTAAAATATGGCATTTTATCTAGAATCTATTTAAAATTCCATTCCATGTCCCTAAATCATGAAGGTAAAAGAGGTGAATTAAGAATGTTAAGTACATATGAAAAAGAGTTTACCAAGCTTTTTTTTTCTTTTAAGCCCCCGGTTGATGGCTTGTATCTTGGTATTAGGAATAGCCTCGGTGTTTAGAACTTCCTTAGATTTCTGCAAGAAACAGAAACAGACCATTAAAAAGATAGTGTTATGTCCCCCTAAGCCTATTTCCAAGTATGCTCTGGAAAGTTTAATGCATCAAATTGTGAGTACCAAGACCAATGATGGTAAATTCTCAGTACCTAAAACAGTGCCCAAAACACAGTAACCACTGTCTGTTAAATGAATAAACTTTTATTTTAAAGCACTTCTAACTTTTTCAAACCAAACCAAATGTCAAATTTACTC